TCCTCCACTTGAGGCAGGGACTCTCCACCCACCCGGAGAGGGTAAGCCACCTTTTTCCGGTCGAGAACCATGGCCTTGGACTTAGAAGAGCTGATCTTCATCCCAACCGCTTCACACTCAGCTGCAAACCGCCCCAGTGCTGCAGGTCCTGGTTTGATGAAGCCGACAGGACAACATCATCTGCAAACAGCAGAGACAAGATCCTGTGGTCTCCAAACCGGACCCCCTCCGGCCCATGACAGAAATTCTGTCCAGAAATACAATGAACAGAACCGGTGACAAAGGGCAGCCCTGGTGGAGTCCAACATGCACCGGGAACAGGTCTGACTTACTGCCGGCAATGCGAACACAGCTCCTGCTCCGGTCATACAGGGACCGGACAGCCCTTAGCAAAGGGCCCCGGACCCCATACTCCCAGAGCACCCCCCACAGGACACCACGAGGGACACGGTCGAATGCCTTCTCCAGATCCACAAAGCACATGTGGACTGGTTGGGCAAACTCCCATGAACCCTCGAGCGCCCGATAGAGAGTATAGAGCTGGTCCAGTGTTCCATGACCGGGACGAAAACCACATTGCTCCTCCTGGATCCGAGATTCGACTATCAGACAGATTCTCCTCTTTCTGTGAGCGAGTTTGCCTCTCCAAAGATCTGGCTCAAATATCTGAGTTGGTCAGATGCTGTTACTTGCTCCAGGAAGAAATATTTTTTAATGCCACACTGTAGAACATTTGGGATAATACTTTAACATCTCCATGGAGACAAGCAGGTGAGAGATCCTCCTACAGAAAAGTTAGATAATGCCCCATTAACCTTCTTATTATAATAATATTGTAATTATCCTTACACCCATCAATATGTGAACAGAATACATATAATAGAAGTTGTAGTTATTAAAGGTCCTATATTACACAAAACTGACTCTTGTGAGCTTTAAATGCTGTTAGAATGTTGTTCCCTCATCAAAAAAAGACCTGGAGTTGTGTTTTGTTTCATTCACACGTTTGAGTAACCTTTTATTATTAATCTGTCTACATCTACAAAGCCCAAAATGCTCTGCTCCACCTTGTGATTTCATGAACAAATCCTTTTACCTTTATTTTAGTGGAGATTGGAAATTCAATGGTTGAAATTATCCAAATGATTCTAGTGAAGGTGCATAGAGTTTAAAAACATTAGAAAATGATGTAATATGGGCCCTTTAAGACTACAAAAATGTATCTAATCTCATTAAGATGGCTTGAATTTAAAACGTTTTATCATGATTTGAGTAGATTTCGCTCGGCAAGTAAAATTTTGTATGTAAAATATGAAAATACATCTTGCTACACTTAAAAAAAGCAAAACAAGACCTTTTTGCACTTAAAATAAGAAACAAAATCGAATGTTGCTTGAAATAAGAAAAACACACTTATTCCATCGGTAGGTAATTTTACTCGTCAAGATGAATCGACTCAAATAAAGTAAAATGTTCTTAATTTAAGTCATTTTAACGTACCTAGATATTGTTTTTTTTTGCAGTGAACCATGAAGTTCAAGCGGAGTTCCTGTTCATACCAGTAAAGGTAATAAGGTTTGCCAGATCTGAATACTGGAACCAAAGCTCCACCTTGATGAATAATTTCCTGATACCAAAAAACCAAACAAAAAAATGCAACAGGGAAATTACCGTCTTTAAAACTATTGTGATTGAAACTAGTGAAACTTGTGAGTGAAAGTTGGTTAAATAGATAGAAAAGAAAGAAAGTAGTGATTAAAGTTACAGTGATTTATATTTTACATTTTTAACTGGGTCTAGATTTTTTTTTTCCCATGTGTTAAAAACTGTATCTGCATTTGACCCATCACCTCCACTACACAGATGTTCAGCTTTTCAGTGCTGAGTTTGCATGTTCTGCCTGTGTCTTGTTTAACACACAATCAGGGACATGGATTCTCCCCCCATATTGGAAAAAAATAAAGCAATAAAATGTAACAAGGAAATGAAAAGCATTGTTGATTTCTGCAGAATTAACAAACTAAGCATTAAACTCTGAAAATCTGAGAAGAGATTCATTTTTATTTTATAAATAATAAATGAGCAGTGAGCTCCTTCGTTTCACATGCGTCACTGAACCATAAACAAATCTGACTGGATGATCATACTTGGTTCAGGCCTCAGACATGATGGAGGGCATAGTACCAGACTGATACTGATCTGTACACAAAGTACACAGAGATATCATTCTGGCTTAACCAGGCAAACCAATTTCTACTGAACAAGAAGTAAACGTAGCTGTTAACTAGAAATCTATCACTCATCATGACATCGCAAGAGCTGTTTTCAGGCCGGCCACAATGGTGCCGGTGCCAGTTCTTGCACCAGATACACTGGGAACCAAAGTGCTCACCGGTGAACGACCTGCATTCAGACCATTTAAGTGAACTGATGATGCGTCAGCGACAGGGGGTGTGGATTTGCCACCAGATAAAAACAAGGCCATACAGAAGTGGATGTTGCAGCAAGGAAAATAACAATTATGGATCGCATCATGGACACCAGTGAGCACTTGTACTCATACAAATCATTATTTATCTGCACCGAGCTCTGCTACAACGTCTGCTGTGGAGAAGGCGGCAGCGACGCCCAATCCAAAGATGTAACCTCACCAAGTGAACACGGATAGAGCAAATATTTGGTCTCCTCCACTGACCACTGCACAGTCTTCATGTCACTTGGTTTCTCCACCTTATTCCACCCATACACACACACGCACGCGCACACATACACACACACACACACATGCACACACACACACACATGCACACACACACACACACACACACACATACACACGCACGCGCACACGCACACACATTTTCTTTGTTTGTTTATTTTACCTGCTGACGTCTACTATGTTTTCATGGTTCACTTAGAAAAAACAAGTTTAACTTGGCTTCCATCGGAAACCACCTGCTTGGTTCTCGCACGCCCCGATTTTCGGTTCGTGATTTGGTGCAAGAACCGACACTGGCACCGTTCTCTGTCGGCCTGAAAACGCTAAAGGTGGAACAAAGCTTTGTGATCTTTGGAGCTGGAGACAGACTAATAATAAAGGATTGCTCAGACATGTGTGAATGAAGCAAAACATAACTCTGGGTATGTTTTTCGTGAGACAAATTTATAAAGAGTTCATTTTGTGTAATACAGTACCTCGTGTATACCTGTGTGGAGCCACACACCCATCACACTGCAACACTCTACCACCCATCTCCAGATGTTGAGTATAGCTGAAGGATTAGTCAGTTGTTCATGTGAATTTGAGAACTGTGAGGAAATCAGACACAGGAAGGACATGAAAACTTCACACAAGAAAGCCTCATACAGTGAACTGAACCACAGATCTCCTTTCTGATGTGTCTAAAATGATCTGTACTCAAACAGTTGTGCAATATTCTCCAAAAGCATGTAAAAAGGAAATTACTTTTCCCAACATTTTCAGTTCTATAGACATCTACAGGCCGTGTTAAAGGTGTTGTTCCCAATTGTAATGTCTTAAACTGTGAAAAACAAAACTATAAACATAAACATTTTTAAAAGTTTTCAGTGGTCCAAAGTTATTCCTCGTTTACCTTATGCATTATTAACATCTAAACTATTCACCACAAAGACTTCATGAGTGTTTTTCACAACTTTCAGAGACCAGAGGTGAGTTTTGCCATCACAGTAAAACAACAACAACAACTTGCTAAAATACTTGGAAATAAATGATATACACTGGTTTATTTTACACTGAATCCAGACAAATACACAAGAATATTGAAGCGTGATTGAACTGCTCATGAAAAAGTGAGCTTCATCTTCCTGTGCTAGAACAGTCTGTGCTGGAGGGTTCCGTGTTGTGTTATAATTGCTGACAGGTCTATTGAACAGAAGAAAAGTCAGGACATATGTGCTAATTGAAAATAATGACAGGGTAAAGTGATAAAATCTGAACTTGTCAAAAGAACAGCAGAGTTCACAGAAACTGACTGAACTGGTCTGACAGGTCCTCACCAATATGGCCGCCCGACTGTCAAAACAAAAACAAACTGAAGTTTTCGACATCCACGATTAAACCTTTACAAAGACAGGTTTAAGTTCTGGTCAAGAGGACATGTCAAGGCAGCTCCCACAGCTAAAAAAATATAACAACATGTGCAAAAAGAGTATGGGCCAAACCTGCCAGTGTAAATTATCCCTCCTGCTTAGTTTTAAGGAGATTCTGTGTTTGTTTTATGATAAATTTTTTTTATTTACTATTGATATATTTGAGGTGCTGGTCCTGTGAACTGCAAAAGGCTCGAGGACATGAAAACGCAGAAGATTCAACTCTGAATTTGGATGTTTTATGTGTTTAGGTGTTTACATTTGATCTGTGTAAAGGGGTATAACGATTGTCATGGTATGAACCTCACCGAACGATAATTATTGCAAAGGGGGAAAGCTCACGATATGGTGGAGAGACTCACGATTAGGGATGTAAAAATATCCAAATCTCTCGGTATGATATTTTCACGATATACATCTCATGATATTTTGTGGAGGCTGCAAACAAAACTGTTAATATGTGACTTTTTCCTCTTAAAATACCTTGACAAGACTTACCCCAAAGAACTAAGACTTAAAAGAACTGTTATTTCTTCTTGTAGTCTGCATTGAAATGGAGCAAAGGATCATGGTCTATGTAGTTCTCGCTGTATTTATTTAATTTTTTTAGCTATTGCTGCACCATAACTCTTAATTTAAGCAAAGAGACTTGTAATTCGATATATTGTGAGGGCCCACGAGAACAACAATAACAATATTTCAGTTATTGTTACATCTCTAATAAATGTTATATTAAATTATTAATATATTTTGAATTAAATGTAGCTTGTATAGTGTTGTGTTGTTGCTTCCATCTGCAAACAGTCAAACAAGAACAAAAAGCTGAAGATCGTTTTCTTTAAGTTTATTTAAAATACAAAATTGAGTGGTTCACATACAAACATTTGTTAGTATTATGTACAAGAGAGCTTCATCTCTGTTTAAAAGAGTACAAAAAAATTCACATTAGACTTACACAGTAATAAAAACATTGGATTCATGTGGTGCGTTTCGAGACACCAAAGCGCTTTTCAGTGCATCAGCCAATTCATTCACTCCACACTCTGCGGTGTGGTCTGACAATGTGCTCCATCGACCCCTCTGATCACCATCATTCACTCACTCACACACCACATTCACACTGGGCAATGTGGGTGAAGTGTCTTGCATAAGGACACAACGGCAGCATCCATTAGAGCCACTGCTGCCCCCCTGTGGTATTCCCAGCAGTCTCAAATCCCATTACTAACTGGGCTTACTCCTGCTTCACTTCAAAGTACTAGTAAATATAAGATAAGAGAACATGTCCTTATCATCCTTCATAAATCCACTGCTCCTGTGACACACGCGGTACAGTGTAATGTAGTTTGTGTCAGAGCAGCGTCACATGTTTACAAGAGGTAAGATTCAGAGGACACGTTCTCCTTCTGTTCAAATACTTGTAGGCAACACACTGTTTAAAGATGTGCACATTTTCGTACTTTCATAGTTGGATTGATGCAGCATATCAAACTTTCAGTACCATGGCACTTGTGGTAATAGTTTAAAGCCCCATATTATTGTATTTTCTGATCTGTTATAATGCTGTTTCCTCATCAAAACATGGCCAGTTCTTCTCACAGTTACCTTCACTAGAATCATTTGGATAATTTCGGCTCTGGAACTGCCAATCTCTGCTGAAAAAAAAAGGTACAAAACTTGAAAACTACAGCACAAGGTGGAACAGAGCATTTTGAGCTTTGGAGATGTAGATTTAACATGCGTAAATGAAACAAAACACAACTTCAGGTCTGTTTTTGGTGAAGTTACAACATTATAACATGACTAAAAGCTCACAAGAGTCAATTTTGTGTAATATAGGACCTTAAAGTTTAACATCGCTTCACAGACGAGGCCAGACGTGCTCGGGCTTGAGGTAAACATAAGGAGCGAAAGAGTCCATTTCAGCCCAGCTCGCGGGATCGTAGTCCTCTTCGATGTAATCTTCATATAAATGATCTTCAAAGCTGGCCTGCTCGTCTTCATCAGAGAGGAGTCCACCAGTGCTGTTTCCACGCTCCCTGCACTCCCCCTCTTTCTCGCTCAGGCTGCTATGGCACAGCCTGCACACCCTCTGCCTCTTGGTGGGATGCAGATTTCCGATCACGGCGCGCTTTCTGGAACACAGTCCACACACCAGGAAGCCGCATTTCCTGCAGTGATGGCGGCGGTGGGTCGCGGTGAACTTCCTGGAGCAGCGCATGCAGATGGCGGAGGCGTGGTCCGGGATCCAGGTCATGGCGAGGGGTCGTCCGGAGCTGGGCAGGCGGGTCTTGCACACCTCGATGTGCTCGATCCACGCCTGCTTCTCCTCCTGGGACGCGGCGGAGACGTAGAAGGACTTCCCCGGGGTTTTGATGAGCCACTGGTTTCTCATGTAGCCGTCCTCCAGGTCCTCCAGCTGAATGTCGCCTGGAAAAAGAAGCACAAGACTCATTAGTACCCCGGCAAAGAGACAAAATAAAGATGAGTGTGAAGAGAGACATTCAGCAGTCAGGACTCAATCTCCCAACACTGGACTATTGTGCACTGATTATTGCTATTACTAGACACATTTTTAAAAGCAATTCTGTGCAAAATGTTTTTCCATATGATGATAATTTATATGCATGGGTGCTTTGCATCTGTCAGTCGGCCCCAGGGCAGCTGTGGCTACAGAAGTGGCTTACCTCCAGCAGTTTATAGTGACTGAATAATGCAACAGGAAGCGCCCATGTGAGTCCAAAATAGTACAATGAAATTTAATCTGTTATTAATTGTAATTCTGCTGAGACCACACACTTAATTTTGCTTTTCAGACAATTTTCTGACTAAATGCATATTATAATTTACACAGAAGCATGATTTTTCCTAGTTATAAAGCAATGTGCACACTCTAAACATGCAGATAAGACAGTTTCTTTTCTCACCTAGAGGGATGATGTTCTGCTTCTTAAACCAGCGTCCGTTGATGACGATGCTGCCGTAAACCAGCACGTCGTTGAACAGAAAAAAGGCTTTGGGTTGGGGTCCGCGCCGGCTCTGCTTCATCAGGCGGCCCTCCCCGATCAGGACTCTCTTGGGGTCCACGAGACGCGCCCCTGTCGGTCCAAAAGACTTCTGCACCGCTTCGATCCGGCGCTGGTTATCGTTCGGGAACAAGAGTGTATCTCCCATTTTGGCTTTGGTTAAGTCCGTGTCTGTGCATAAAGAGCTGCTTGTGCTTAAAGAGCTGTCTGCAGGTGAGCGAGGAAGAGGCGAGTTTTTAAAGGCGCCGCGGGGAGGTGTGGCAACAGGGACTTCCAGAGCCCAAAACAAAACACAAACCTGTTTTGAGAAGAGGAGGAGTCGAGTTTGAAAATGTACGAGGAAGAAAGTGGCATTAAACTGGGAGCGGTGTCAGTGTTTCCCGGCACATGGGAGTGGAGTTTAGGGACAGCACCTAAAGAAAATTTTCAAACATAAAATACTGGAAATATAAGAGATTAAAGTCTGAAAAGTCCAACTTGGTAAATACAATAGTCCTAATTAAACAATCCAATGTTAAAGAATATATATGTATAAATAGGCTACAATCAAAACTAGACTAAAGTTAAAAATAGGTTACAGTTAAAAATAGACTAATAACTAGTTATATTTGGGCACTAAGTTCATTCAATGCATTTTTGTTGATAATTAAATGACTAATTCAGGCTACAATTATTAGACAATGCAGCCAAAAGCAAAATATGCAATAAAGATTTGGTTGTGTATACACATTAAGTGAAAAATTACAAGCTATAAATTTCAGTATGAAAAGACCTGCTACTGACTGACTGTTTTCATGGACATTTTGTTGCTTTGTTTGTCTGGAATGCTCCATAGTATGGCATTAAACTTCTGGAGATGCCCCCAGACCAAGCTGCAGGTCAGATCTGTGGAGAGGCGAGAATATTTTGGAGCAATAAAATGCATGCAATTGAAGAAATGCATGTAAGAAAAGTTTAATTCCATGCAAATAACAAACAAAGAAATAAACAAACTGCGTGAAACTAAATGCATTCTCACTGTGTGCAGGCTCGCCTCTCCACAGACCTGACTTTTAGCAATATCTCCATGAAGACAAGCATGTGGCATACCGTAAACTAGAATGTACCTCTTGAAACCGTGTTTCATTTGTTCATTCGTTTTTCAATATAAAACCAAAAATAAGATAGGGACTGAGACCGGGACTGAGGCCAGGACTGAGACCGGGACCAGAAAGGGACTGAGACCAAGCCCAGGCCGGGACTGAGACTGGGACCAGACCGGGACTGACACCGGGACTGAGATTATGACCAGACCGGGACTGAGACCAGGAGCAGACTGGAACCAAACCAGAACTGAGACCAGAACTGAGACCGGGACTGAGACCAAGACTTAGGCCGGGACCAGACCTGTACCAGGCCGGGACTGAGACCGGGACCAGAAAGGGACTGAGACCAAGCCCAGGCCGGGACTGAGATCGGGACCAGACCGGGACTGAGACTGGGACCAGACCGGGACTGAGACCGGGATTGACACCGGGACTGAGATTATGACCAGACCGGGACTGAGACCAGGAGCAGACCGGAACCAAACCAGAACTGAGACCGGGACTGAGACCAGGACTTAGGCCGGGACCGGACCTGTACCAGGCCGGGACTGAGACCGGGACCAGAAAGGGACTGAGACCAGGACCAGATCAAGACCAGACCAAGACTGAGACCGGGACCAGACCGGGACTGAGATCGAGACTGAGACTGGGACCAGACCGGGACCAGACCAGGAGTCACGTAAACGGAGGCCGTTATCCGTTTTTTTCCATTCTTCATTTAAACACAAAATCGAAAACTGAAAAAACAAATCATTATCCATTTCTTTATTTTGGTTTTGGAGACAATTCATGAAGTAAACAGTTATTTTTTGTTTTCTTATTTTTGGTTTTATATTGAAAAACTAATAATACATGGATTTTCTTACTGTTTTCTTTTTTGTTCATTCATTTTTGGTAAACGGAAATCCGTCTTATCATTTTCCATGCAACTTGTTTATTTATTTTTCTCTTTCCTGTGAAATTACAAAGTATTTCTTATATAAAACTAAAATTCCCAGTGACTCAATTCCAAGTTTCAATCAGTGGGCGTTAACAGGACTAAAGGTGAGCTCACGTTTCCAGTATTTTCAGTCGAACCTGTCTTACAGCTCCTTCCTCTCTCCTCCCTCACTGTCTCTCTGTCTCAGCAATTTTCAGTGTGAGAAGACAAAGAGAAAAAGAGAGAGAGAGAGAGATGGGTTTGTCCTCTATTAATTTGAACCATGAGTCAATATTTTTTCTGCACGTGCAAATCCATCACACGTGGGCTCGCCGCACCACAAATATTCAGGTCAGACTATGGACCAAACAAGTGGTGAAATATTACTGCTGACAACTTCACTACAGAGAAAAATATTGCTTTGTCTGTGCAGGAAATGCACATGAAGTGTCTTGCCCAAGGACACAATGCAAAAACAACAAGAATTCATTGCACTAACATTTACATTCAGTGGGGTTTGTGAACTTAAAACATATTTGAAGCCTGGTTATGTTCATGCAAAGGGAAATATAATAGCAGAGGTTTTGCAGACTGGTCCCACGCCCTCTGTCGCGTCTTGAGTCAGAACCAAACGTGACCGTGAAGTTAGATTTGTTTTGTGTTGGTGAAACAAAGGAGCTCATTAAAAACATAACACATTTGTCTCGCTTCAGGATGACAGTTTAGTGCAGGGTGAACAGAGTTTTTTTTGCTGGCCGGGCCAAAATAAATGTGCATTAGCAGGTTGAAGGTCAAATCTAATGATAGCTTGCACAAAAAATTGCTCCTCTGCAAGAAATGTGTGATTAAATTGGCTTTAAATATTCAGAAATAGACAAGATGCTCCTCCTTCCCATCTCCTGACAGTCTTTTCAATACACAGTAGAATCAAAATAGAAATAGAGAAACTAGGTAGCCAGGCTGGCACCACCTAGTGCCTCCGCTCAATTTCATTTCTCTCCAGTGACTATAGGTCTAGAATACACTAAACCAGGGATCTCCAACCTGTTGCTCGGGAGATACCAGTAGCCCTCCACTTCCTTACAAGTAGCTCGCCAAGGGATTTCTGAATTGCCCTATTTTCCGGGCTATTAGGCGCTCTGGATTATAAGGCGCACTGTCATTAAACGGTCTATTTTCAAACTTTTTTCACATATAAACTGCACTGGACTTTAAACGAAACACAACAGTTTGACGGGTCAGTTGGACTTTGTTTGTCGCATTCATGGTGACTCTGGGCTTTGTTCAGTTGTGGCGTGTAGGGAGGGTGCTGTCTGGGACCGCTGGATTGTCGGCGTGTTCGCAGTGACTCAGTTGTTCAGTCGTGTCTAGAAGTGGCACATTGCACTCGCTTTTTCAGTTCGTTCCTTCGTTCCGTTCCTCGTCGGCGTGTGGAGTGATGAGTGTGTCTGTGGGTGTTTTTCACTGTGCGGTCGCTGTCTGCTCCGTGTGTGTTTGCGTGCGCTGCGGGTGGTGCGGCTTTGTAGTTTACTGACGTCGTGCTGGGACACCCGAGTGGATTCGTGTATAGGGCACTCTGGGTTGCGGGGCGTGCAGTCGTTTTTTGATGCGGTTGGAGGCTTAAGTGTACGCCTAATAGCCCGGAAAATATGGTATACGTACTGTCCTGAATAACTAAAATTGGATTGATTAAAAGGCTATTACAGTTGTAAATGTGTAATTTTGATGACTAACATTGTGCACTTTGTAAGCCTATAAACATCTAACTGTGCCCCATCTAAGGCCGTGGCTCTTAAATGTACTCAATATTGTGACCAATAAAATGAGGAGCTCTTTGGAATTTCAATTTTTTAGTAGCTCACCGGAAGAAAAGGGTTGTAGACCCCTGCGCTAGACGGTGTACAAGAACCCCAGAAGTTATAGACTATGCACCGGCCAGTCAGAGAAGAGCTGTGAAGCCATGACGTCAAACTCAAGCATCTGTCTGGGTCCCTTTTTATGGTGCAGCACAACAGTAAACAAAGCGGTCGAGATGGATGTAGACGAAGACAGACATTCTGTGTTGGCAACGATTCCCGAGATCGAGGATTTAAAGCCGGAACAAAGAGAATGTTTTGTAAAGGGGAAAGACGTTATTGTCCTTCTTCCTATGGGATTTTGTGCATTGTGCATACATACCGACCAAATAGCAGTGACTGGTTAAACAAAAAAAGTACCTGCCTACTGTTGAGCGAACGAATCCTAATGCTGCAAGGTCAGACGGTTTCCACAAAGTGAAACCGGCTGATGAATCAGGCTACAAACTTGGCCCTTCAGGTCTAATTTGTCCCATCTGCCCCACTCAGCCATATTTGTTTTGATACAGACATACCCTGCGTGTCCCTGATTGGCTAATCCACCTGCCAATCACCAGACTCACATCTTTGTAAAGTATTTTTTTGTACACAAGTGCATATTCTTAATTCCAGGGAAGGAAATATCTTAATAAGCATTACAGAAAAGGTTTCAAAGTAGTCTTCAGTGCCATGAAATCATTTTGTGTGGTGTCCAGAATAGGGATGGGCATTCGATAAAATTTTCTTAATCGATCGTCGGGAGAATTAACGATTGATTATCGATTAATCATTAACGTTTTTATATTAAAATTATCATCATTATTATTACTATCTGCACTACTAATCTGCATAAATAAATTCAACTTTACGATATATAAACCGTAACCACTCTAGAGCCACATCAGCCTGTTTGACATTATCATGTGTTTAATGCAGCTTTGCACAACTCTCACAGGAACGAGAGCATGGCTAATTTGCATAAACTAAGCGATGGAAAAAAAAACAGCTCTTGTGCGCTGATGCGGCACGACTCAGTGCAATACAGGTTAGTCTGACCATATTTGCATTTGTCAAAACCAGGACAACGTACGGGGGAGGGAGGTGGGGCCTCGTCATCGACATTGCTCTACTCTCACCTGGCAAAGATTTTTCCCACTGTACACTGAAACATATGTGCTGCTTTGTACACAGTGCACATGGACTCCCATTTGTCCTGACCAGAACGGAAAGCATGGAATTTCTTGTACAAGTCATCGTTAAATACGCATTTGCGCTTCGGCACGTTGCAGACTGACCGACTGTTTGTGTTTGCTCGCTCCTTCTGAGTGCAGAGAGACACATGTACGGACCCCTGTTTGG